CATCATGTATTAAGTACTTTTTAAATGCCAGACCTGTGCTGGGGCCTGAAGACCTGGAGTGAATCAGCTATGGCTGCTCCAGGCCAGGGGCGGCGACTGTGACCGACACCATGCCCTTGGCCTGGGTCAGGGACGGTGACATCCAAGCAGGGGCCATGGGGGCAGAGAACAGCCAGGAGGGCACAGGCCCCAGCCACACACATTCATGAGGGTCCTTAAGTTCGGACTGTGACGGGACTGAAAGGAAATCATGTTCATCAGACAACTGTGAATGCCCACCCCTTTCCTGACCACACCGCCTCCAGTGCCTGTGGATTTAGACTGCTTTGAAAGAAATACTGGAATAACACACTTATATTACATCTGGTCGCTGATGCTAAAGGCATTAATTTGTCAAATGTATGTTTCAAATATACCACAATGGCTATACTGTTGTTTAGGTCTTTCTTCACTTCCGTACACACCAAGGCCCAGAAACGGCAGGTGCCCTGGGCGCCTTCCTTGCGCCCTGAGAGGGCCTGCGCGGGAACCAGGTCCTGGAAGAAAGCATGTTCCCCTTCGAGGAGCAGCATGTACAGAGGCCCAGAGGCACTAGTGAGCATGCACCCGGGGCGAGTGCAACCCCTCAGAGCGGCTACACTTCACAGTGTGAGGTGAGGGGGAGGAGAGCAGGCTAGGAAGCAGGAAGATGTGGAGGGCCTTGAAGTCCAGGCCAGGGCATGGGGAGCCTTTTCAGGGGAGGCTTCCCAGAGGGGAGCCCATGGTCAGATTTGGGGTCTCTCTTGCAGCAAGTTCCTTTTCTTCTCTATAAGATGCCCAGTTCTCCTAAGGCTGGGTGAGATTCCCTGGGGTGGGGGTAGGAGGTGGGTGTGCAGGTGGCAACAAGGTCTTCCAAAGCTTCAGGAGACTCAAGGAATCTTTCTGCCCCCAAGGCAGACAGACCTAAACTTGAAAATGCCTGAGTCAAGCCTTTGGACAACAGAGATAAAGTGCCATTTCCATCACATCATGTCAAGGCGACACACTACCCACAGACCGATCACTGTTGATGCTGGCCTTTAGCACCTGCTTGAGATGTGCTGGTCAGGTCTCCTCACTGTGAAGTCACTTTTACTCCCTTTCTGTGTTGTCCCCTTTGGGAGGAAGTCGCAATGCAGCCCACACTTACCAAGTGGGGAGTTCTGTCCGTCTCCTTGAGGGCATCTTATTCACATAAATTACCTGGAATTCTTCTACACAGGAGATTTGCCTACTCTCCAATTTTCATGCATTTTTACCAACATTTTTATGCTGGGTCTTTTTACTGTTTAGGAGTTCAAGGACCCTATTGGTATTTCCAGGAACCTACAAATATTTTATTTCAATTACTAAAATGCATGAAATTACCAAGGCATTAAATTGGAGGGTAGGGGCAAAGCCAGTAATTATTTTTATTTTTTCTATTGTCGACACACTTTAATAAGAGGCTTGGGAAATACCCAAAGTAGAAGACTCTCTCTTGTCCCGCTGCTCAGAGGGACCATTATTCACATTCAGGTTATTATTTTTAATTTTCCTTCTGTGCACAATTTTTACATGGGTTATACTATGTAATTTTGTTTCCTGCCTCTTCCCACCTTTTTTGGTTTATCCTATCCAACATATTTCTCCTATGTTGAGAGACAGACTTCATAACCAGATTCTTTCAATAGCTGCTAAATATCCCCTCACGTGGCTCCCAATGTCCCACCCCCCAAATTTAGCTCAGTGCATAGCACGTAGCCGGTGTTTAGAAATAATTTGCTAAATGAATGAATATATGACAAAGTAAATCACTCTCTGATTTTAGACATGTAGGTTATTTCAGTTTCCTTGATTCTAAAGAGTACTGAGAAAATAGATTAGTCCCTGAGGGTAGCGTCCCAGGGTAGAGTTACTGGGCCAAGGGGGCCCAAACTTTTCAAGAGAAATGCAGCAAACCAGAAGTGTCCCTCCCCCTCCCCTGTGAACCACCAGCAATTGTGCCCAGGGTAATAATTTACAATTGATTAAAGAGTTTGTGGGGTGTTTTTTCCCATCATTTTCCCCCTCCTCACCCCCCTCTCCCGCCAAAAAGGGGAGAAATTATCTGAGAAGGTGAAGATGTTCTCAGACAATCATATTAACATATTCCAACAATCACGATTTGCAGAATAGTAATCACAACTCCCGGGATCTGGGAGGCCTTAATCAAAGCGGCAGGTTTAATTCCATTTTAAATATTGATGAAACGTACTTGGGATGCCTCACCCGGCGGGCAGGGCCCCGAGCCTCCGTGGGCCAGGGGAGGCGGAGGGAGGGCTGGCGCGCAGCTGCCGGGAGGGGAGGCATCTGTGATTCAAATTGGTGGCTGTGCATCCAGGTAGAGAGTGAAAGGGGTAGTGAAGAGGGCTGTTAAGTCCATTGCTGTCAATTTGTAATGATCAGGGAGGGGCCGAGGACTGGTTCAGCACAATACGCCGGGGTTTGTCTGGTTTCAGGGGTTACCACTGAAGAGGTTGCAGCTGCACTGATTCGAATAGCCTGGAGACTTCAGAACTGTAATTACCAACGGGCTGCTTGTGGTGTGGTGGCAAAAGTGGGCTTCACCAGCGCTTAACTCCTTGTGTGCCGCGCTCTCCACCCCACCCACCCCGGGGCTGGCAGCCGCACTCAGATTCCCAGGCAGCCACCCCAGGGGAAATTGAGGCCCACGAGCTGCTCAGGGTAGTCTTCCAAGCCTGCCAGGCAGCCAGCCTTTTTCCTTAGGTCACATAGGAAGAAATAGTGGAGGCGGGGGCAGCCCCGCCTGCCGGCACCACCACTTCAGCTATGAGGTGGGAAGTCAGGCTGGGGAGTCTGAATTCCAGTGAATGCAGACATGGGAGAAGGCTTGGGGTGCTCTCCCCTGCCCTACTGGGTGACCGCCGACTCAGTGAGATCCGGTGTTTGTAAAGCATGAAGCACACAGTAGGCTGTCAGTGTGCCTCCATCTCCCTGATCTTGGGCCTGGTGCTTTCACAGAAGAGGGAGGTGGGCAGGGGTCTGATTCGGAGGGTGGTCCCCTCCAGCTCTCAGGGAGCCCCCTTGTTCTCCAGCTCCCGCCCGTAGGTCACTCAAGGAGGATGGGTAGGCAGAGGCAGGAGCTCCCGCAGTGCTGTACCCCTGAGAACTGCTTGAGGGTAGGGGTTTGGGCTCATTCTCTCTGTCCCCAGGCAAGGCACAGGGGAGGCAGGAATGAGGGAGGGACAGCAAGCAGACAGCATGGTGCTACCAAGGCTTAGCCGGGAGTCTGGTGAACGAAGCACCTGTATAATTCCAAGACCCACTGGGGGAATATAACCCCAGAGAGTTCTCCCACATATCCACAAAGGGATGGCCCAAGAACATTGTCCTAGCATCATTCCTGGTGATGGAGGCTGGGACAACCTGCATGTCCACCGTGGGAGGATGGATAGTAAAATGTGATGGAAGCCCACAGTGGGATACTAGGCAGCAGTTTGTTTGTTTGCTTTTAAAGCTATACAATGGAAGAATTGAGAAAGATCACCAAGAGCAAATGAGTGTCATTAGAGACCAAGGCTAAGTAAGATCATCCACCCCCTATATTTCCAATTACCATATACAGAAGCAAAAGATGGACCATGAAGAAGGGTGATAGGAGAAAAAATTGGTTCATTTGAAATATAATAGTGTAGGGGACACTGCGGGTACCTGGCCCGCCAGAAAGATGAACAGTGGGACCCAACGCAAATTAAGCCTGAAATGTCACTGGAAGCAAACGCGACAACCTGAAGCTGTCCTGTGTCAGGCACATCAGGAGAAGGCAGATTCTTTGGAAAAGACAACAACGCTGGGGAAACAGAAGGCAGCAGGAAAAGAAGACCAAATACGAAATGGATTGGCTCCATAGAAGGAGCTCAGTCCACAGGCTGAGCAGGGCTGTTGAGGACAGGACGCTGTGGACATCACTCATCCATAGGGTCGCCAGGAGTCAGGGCTGACTCAACAGCATAAACACCAGAAGCAAAGAACTAGATGTCTGTGCAGCTATAAGACTAGATCTTGAAAATGTACTGTTGAGTGAAAAAAATAAGACAATGAGATCCACAGCACAATGCCATTTGTGTAAATTAAAACCACATTTGCACACAAAACAACAGTACATATTTTACAGAGCTGCATGCATTTTTAGGGGTATATATCCCGCCATTAGTCTCTGTCGTGGTTGGGGAGGGGCTGGGTGTGGGTGTGGGGGATAAAGGGGGAAAATGAAAATAACGGGAGTCTGCGGAGGGGCCTGGAAGAGAGACGCCAGTGGTGGACTATGGACTGAAGAACGTGTCTCACTCGGCTTTCTCGGGTTTAAAAAACAGCCCAGGCCTTGTAGTCAAACAACCCTAGGCTGGAGTCTGCACACTAACACTGTGGCTGTGGACAAGTGACTTGACCTCTCTGAGCCTGTCTGTCCATCTGCAGAATAGAGGGGTTGGTGCTGTCATCTGGTCATGAGGATTAAGTTAAGGGAGATCAATGTACGTAGGGATGAACACCAGATCCTCTCCATTCCCCGCTGAAAGGATCTGAGTAGACACAGGGTGTCAGCCCCCTGGGTCCAGAATGGAAAACCCAGAAAGAAAACTAAGATCTGAAGGCCCTGGCTCCCGGCACTGCCAGCGAGGCCTGGGCCATCCTGGGGGTGCTGTTTGTGGACGTCAGACTGGCAGAGGCCGGAGCGGGCTGCCCTCTGAGTACCTGTCAGGCTGCCCTGCTCAGACTGGCCGGACAACGCCTCGCCTGCCCGCATCGGCAGCATCCACCAGCTGTAAGCCCTTTTGTGTTCAATTCCCCCAGACCAGGCACTCACAGGCAGACACTGGCCACCAAGGCCACCCCTCTGTCCTGGAATTCACCCACGTCCCAAGACCCCACCTGGGGGTCCCCCAAGGCAGGGAAGGCCCAGTGAGCCCCAGGCATGACCAGCTCTTCCTCTTCCCTTGCAGACGATGACGAGCATGAGTGGATCCTCCGGACGTGTCGGAAGGGCTGGGACGAATTCGTGGGCCACAGGCCCAAGCTGTGAGCTGAGCAGCTGCCTCCGCCAGAGGTTTCCCTCTGCTCCGCGGCCCCGGCTGGCCTTGGGGGCAGGCTGCAGTTCTAGAACCTGGCCTTTGCCGCAGGAGTAAAGGCTAGTGCATGCAGGCGGTGTGTGTTTATTATCTCTGTTCCTCACAACGGTCTTGCAAGGGAGGGAATCTGAGGTTCAGAGAGATTCGGTGACTTACCCTAGGTCACACAGTATTTGATTCCGAGTCCTTCTGAGGACAAAGTCCGGATTCTTTTTACTGTACGAAGTTGCCTGCCTTGCCAGTCGGTCTCGCAGGCAGTACCGTGGGATACTGTGCCCAGACGCAGGCCCAGCAATGATTACCCAGGGACTTCCTCTCCTCTGGGCAGCTACCCCATTTAAGCCTCATACCTTCAGCCCAGAAGCAGTGTGTGGCCACAGAACAAACGTAGCTTCGGCATTGTACACACCTAGATTTAAATCCCAGCTCAACCATAGGTGTCATGTAATTTTGGGCAAATCACTTCGCTTCTCTGGGCTTGTTTTGTCATCTGTAAATGGGTAGAATGATGCTGAAAACAGGGTAGCCGTGTGGACTGCATGAGATAATACCGGGAGCTGGCACTTAGCAGGTGTTCAATGTGTGCTTGCTTCAAAGAAGAGTTTGTTAGTGTGCAGAGTTATTATTCCCGAAAATCGCTCCCCAGAGATCAGGTGCCAGCTGAAAGGCAGAAGAGGAAGACATGACATGTTCTAGGGCCACGCTGGGGCCACGAGCATCCTGGATCTTTGTAAACTGTCCCTCCTCAGAGGCTGATCGATTTTGCAGGTACCCCTCCCCCACTGGTCCTCTGGCTCACCAAGAGCTGCCCAGGAGGCAGGCCGAAGAGGGTCCTGTCGAGGTCTGCAGAGCCGGGAAACTGGCCCTCAGACTAGGCAGCCAGAGGTGGCATGCTGGGGCAGAGCCAGGAGTGAGGGAGGCCTGTGCCCACGCAGCTGCACCAGGGAGGGGTCATGGGGTGGCACCTCTCTCTGAGGCAACAGTCACCTTGGTAGAATGATAGGGCTGAGCTCCACTGGGGGGTTCCAAATTGGGTTTTGAAAACAGAAGTAATATTCATCCATGTAAATACATACACACACAAAACTAAAATGAAATTAAACTATTTTCAAAGATACACATATATCTAGATCGACATTTGAGAAATGGATTGGAAGAGTGGAGGGGGTGGGAGGAGAGATGGGGTCAGGGATGGAGTGCAACAACTAATAGATAAAGAGGGGGCCCTGCCGGGGTGCCGACCACGTGCACCCTGAGCTGAAGTTACAGGGACTGCGCAGGGCCACTGCGCTGGGCAGGAGGGAGGGTGCTGGGGAGCCTCTGCACCAGACAGGGCGACTCCCCTCCTCTCCTCCGATCTTGGGCTTGAACAAACTGTTCTGCTGCTTTAAAAAAAAGTCGGCAGCCAGCAGAAAGGTGCTCTCGCTCAGTCCCCAACTATGTGGTGGTGGAACAGCGAGGCCCACACGAGACCCAGACTCCTGCCAAAGTCCGAGCCCTGGCTCCCTTCGCGTTACCCTATCAAATCTCCCCCCATCCTCCAAACAGGCTCCTCTGCACCTCCCTCCTGGCCCCCAACACCTCCTCATTTGCAGCTATTCGGAGAACTTCTAATCTGATCAGACCCCCTGGACCCCCACGACATGCTGGTGGGATGGTCTGCTCGCAGCATTTGCCAGACGGAGAGCTCCTCGGGGCAGAGTCGGCTGCAGTCATGCTCAGCCCCGGGACAGAGGACAACAGCCGGATTTCCCACAGCGCTGAGATTAGGGAAGAAACCCACCGTCGTGCCTTCAGGACGCTCAGTGTTCTGACCGGGAAACTGCCAATTTCCCAGAAGGGACTGCACTGCGGTTCAGGGGCCTGAGCCCTTGACCAGAGCGCAGGAAAGAAATGGAATCGCACCGCGGCCTGGAGGTAAGTGCCAGCACTTCTACTTGCATTAACTTTATTTATTACACAAATAAGACATTTACAAAGCACGACATGAAAGGTAGGTAACAAAACAGACATTGGTTTTACAAAAAGTGCTTACAATTTTTTTGTGTGAGTGCGTGTGTGTGTTTTCCCCTTTTGTATTTAAATAAATAGTCTTGATGGCCTGTACTTTCCCAGGCTGCTCTAACAGGCTAGTGGAGACATGTCTGAACTGCAACATGCTATGATCACGTGATCCAAGCAAGGAACAGACCCTGGGGGAGGCTCAAGGCAGAGTGGGTACTGGCCGACCCTGGTAGGGCTTGACTGGCCATCAACTACATGGTTGCTGCTGGGGCCTCGGGAACAAAAATCAAAGGAACGATTCGAGTTCCCTAAGGCCAGGGATCAGGCCTGAACTGCCCGTTAGCATCAGCCCCCAGAACAGGGCCGGGTACATGTTATTCACCGGATGAGTTCTGGACCGAGCTGGACTGACTGCACTCTGAGTGGTGCCTTCTCTTGGCCCTGAGTCAGCTGGAACCGTCTTCAGAAGGGAAAGGCAGCAGGTTCCCTTCTTGGGCTACACCCATGCCTCGCCTTTCTCCAGGTCCCAGAGCAAGAATGACATATAGATGTTCACGTTAAGTGCCAACCTCAAGCATCTGAATTCTGAAACCTCATCAGACTCAGTGACAGAGAGTGCTGTAATTGCCTAGCGATGTCTGCCATGGGTGAAAACAAGGACAGATGATACATGTGTGCCACAGACTTGCTTCCCCTGTCCTAGAGTCTCCTTCCAAAGGCAATGTATCAGGTTAATCAGAGCAAGCAGGAGGACTTGGGCTGCACCGTGCTTGCTAGCAGCCTCTAGTGGGAAATGCATCGGGACACAAGTACTTGTAAAATGACAGGATAAACTTGGGACAAATGGGCGTCCCCTGAAAACATAAACCATGGTCTTGTGTAGCCCAGAGCCCTTCTGTTTGGGGTGGAAGAGTTGCAGCAGAACAGGGTGAGTGTGAACACAGTTGTGTCTGGCCTCCGTTCTCAGGAGTGGGTGGGGTGCCCAGAGGTGTCAGCTGGAATCTCGGACTGGGCACATTCACCTAGGCAGTGGGTACCCTCTCTCTACTCTGATATGGGTCCGGAACTTACATTCTGACTGCCATTTTCCTGGCTCTGTTTCCCAGCCCCCCATGAGTGGTCCCCCCAAAAGACACGACCCACACACCCCTACCAGGAGTCAACAAGTGGCCAACAAGGGCCCCCAATTCTAAGCTGCCCAAATACAGTCGTCCCTCACCACTTCATGCTTAACTTTCGCAGGTTCACTCTATCACGGTTTTTTCAAATATATTCATTAAAAAGTGGATCGAGACACTGAAAATAATACAGCGCACGCTCGGTTGTCTGAGTCAATTATACACCCCTGTATTACAATTAAAGTTAAAATTACTGTACGTATGGACTGTAGGCCTATGTACTCGAGCACCCCAGGAATCCTTCAACACCAGGTGCAACCTCTAGAGTCTGGAACGGATTGACCACGATAAACAAGGGACGACTGTATTTGGAAATGTCATCATATAGTTCAAACACCATCTCTGCTGTCAACTGTATACATATGTGCTGGGTAACTAGGTAGGAGGGTCTCTCATATACACCCCGAGTTTTCTCTTTCCTTTCCCAGCCCAGTGTGCCACATCCTTCTCCTCCAGCTCCAAACCAGTGGGGGTCCAGGTCCCCCACCCAGCCCCTGCCTGTCCCCCACCTCCTGGTCCGGGCAGCCCTCCATCTCTGCCCTGCTGGGCCTCTCAGGGTTGGTCAGTGTCTCTTCTCTCTCTGAATTAGCTTGACATAACCAGACAGATGGAAATGATAAAAATAAGAACATAAGCTTTCCTTTGGGGACATCCCACAGACACTGTCGAGTTTTCCAGACAAAAGCAACAGAATGGATAACACTGGGAGTCGTTGGCTTTCAGAACTCAGAGATGGTTCCAAGGAAGTAGTGGGTACAGGCCAAGATGGGAGGAAAGAAAACCTGTAAAGTAAGAGGCTGTTGGCGCTGCACAATTCAGTTCGGCCTTTCGCTATTGTAATCAGCTCAAGTGGAAGATGAGTCCTGTCTAGATGGGAAAACGGGACCATTGTTTCCCCCGGTTCCAAAGTTCAGGGAGCTCTGCCTTCAGGAGGAGGACTCTGCGGTGCTCCTGGTGGGTCTGGTTCTCAGCAGGAGAAGGGACGGCCAGGCCCACGGGCCCAGCTGGTGGCGGGCAGGATGGCAGATGAGGGTGGATGTGGAGGTGGGTGGATCCTGGCAGCGCTCGGACACTGCACTTCAGGGCTGAGGGGCGCTTGGGGTGCCCATGGACCAATGCAGGAAGCGTCAGTACTGAAAGAGGATGACCTGCGGAAGGAGGGTATTGGAGGTGGCTGAGCGGGGGGCCTGTCCCCCTCAGCAGCTTCCCAGAGGTCCTTGTAGGCATGGAGCATGTGGATGGCTCAGGGCCCAGATCTGGGTTCAAATCCTAGCTCTGGCACTTACTTGCTGTGGGACCTTGGGCAACTCACTTCACCTCTCTGAGCCTGTTTCCTCGTCTGTAAATGGGAATGACAAGACCTCGCTGTCAGAAGGGGGCGGATTCGGTGCGATACAAGAGCAGCAGTGAATGTCTGCTGGGCACTGCACCCCGCGCCCGGCACTGCGCCATGTGCCTGGCCCGCCTCATTTCCTGGAACCTCATCCCCATCCCTCACAGGTACCCCATTTCACAGGAGAGGACGCTGAGGCTCAGAGAGGTGAAAATCAGTGAGCCCGCCGTCACCCAGCTGGGAGGCGGTGGACCCAGCACTGCAGGCAGGCCTGGCTCAGAGCCAGTTCTCTTCATAACATCACTGCCTGGACCTCTCCACAGCCACCACGACAGCTGCCATCATGCTTATGACACACCAGGTGCACTTAGTCTTCACAAAGCCGAGAGGCAGGTGACTGAGACATGCCATGTACCTGACACACAGTGAGTGACCAGGGACTGTCTGCCCGTCCCTCTCTCCCACCTAAAGCACCTGGCTGACCTCTCATGCCACGGACACAGCCAGCTCCCTGAAGTTCAGGGCCAGGATTACCGGCTGCCTGGTCAATGGGATGTCACAGTAAAGGGTCAGGTGGAGGTCTTAAGTGGTCCTGGGACATTGGGTGTCGCCATATGGCTGTTCCATTTTCTGATCAGGAAGGTTACCTGCCCAGATCAGTTACCACGAGGAGGAGATGGAGGACAGCGTAGCAATAACCGCCATCTACGGCTACTTCTGTGCACCAGGCACTGTGCTAGGTTCTCTACATACACCGCTCATTTGTTCTCAGCAACAAGCATGGGTGGGTGGACCTATTATTATCCCCATTTTGCGGCTACAGGAACTGAGGCTCAGAGAAGCTGTGCTCCCAGGTCCAGGGTGAGAAGCGGCAGAGCTGGGACCCAGAGACCGCCTGCCTCAGCTCACGCCGCATCGCCTCCCACTCGCCCAGCCTCGGGCAGTGCTCTCCTCTGGCCTCCCAGATGCCTGGCTTTGGGCTCTTATTAAAAGTGGGCTCCAGTCTCTCTGAATGATCAATGACGGCTTGGCCCTGATTTCTTAGCACATTCTAAGTTCTGAAACTGTGGGATCGAGGGCCATGACCAGGAAGAAATGTGGTTCTGGAAACTCACAGGTGTTTGTGGCCAAAGGATGATGTGGTGGGGGCAGAGGGTGCTGCTCCCGAATGCTCAGGACCATTCTCCTGGCCAGGCCAGCGGTGGTCTTGATGAGTGGGTTCAGGGGCCTGCCTCGGGGGCACCGAGTCTCCTTGCAGCCAGGCTGGCTCAGGCCTGGAGTGACTTGGGAGAAAGCCTCCACAGTGCTGCACTGACCGAACCACACACAGGCCCCCAGGCCCCTGGGTTTGTCAGGATGTGGACAGAAAAGGTCCCCAGGAGCTGGCAGGAAGGCTCGACAGTGAGAGGCAGAAAGACCATGGAGGAGAGGGAGGCGCTTTTCTGCAGAGCTGCTGGATGTGAAGCTGGGGACACAGCCCAGCAAGAGAGAACTCTGGCTCAGCAGCCAAACTCGGGCCAGAAACCTACAGCCAGAGCTGCCAGACCCCAGGCTGGCTCATCCTCAGGCTGAACCAGACATAACCACAAGCTTCACTGAGCAACCAGAAAGCCAGGGCTTGTCTCCAAGCTCTGAGCACAGCCCTAAAAACTTCCAAGGCTGAACCCCCTCCAGATAGTGCCCATGCCCCTCACCTGGTGGTCCAGGCCCTTCATTATGTGATCCCTGTCATCTCCCCTCTACCTCCTTGGGCCTCAGCCACACTAAACAGCCCCAAGTCCCTCCAACTCAGGCTCCTCTGCATGCCTGTGCCTGGCATGTTCTCTGCTCCCAGTGTGAAATGCCCTTCTCCTCATCCCCTGCTTCTCCCCTAGAACTTTCACTGCCTCTTCTGGGTCCTCGAAGGCCATGTTCATCCCTCACCTCAAGTGCCCTGTCACTTTGGGGTGCAGCTACCCACCTCCTGCTCTAAGCCACACACTCCCTGAGGACAGAGACCATGGCCTCTGCAGTCCCTGTACCAGGTCCTACTGGACGAATGTGCTCCTGCAGGAGGGGCAGCTCAGAGGCAGGCAGTCCGGGGATGGAGGCCAGCCCTACCCACGTCTCTGTGTGGCCCCGGGCGGGCGGGCTACTGCTTGCTCTGTGTGAGCCCCCGTGTCTGCAGGTGTGAAACGGAGCCAACCGTAACTCCTCCCAGGGGCGCTGTTGGGGCTGAGGTCCGAGCACTGTAAACTGTGAAGTGCTGTGCAAAAGGACGTGGTTACTGGTCTAGGCAGACTTCAGAGTCCCACAGGCTGGCTGCATCCCTGGACAAGTCATCACCAGACAATGTGTGTGAGTGCCTGCTGTGAACAGAGGAGCAGCTCTTACTGGTAGTACGGCAGTCCCAGAGGGGACGTTCCTGGGACATGCTCACCTGCCACCGGGTGCTGTGGGACTGTGCCTGGAGCACTGCCACTCACTATTAACCTACCTGCCCAACTAGGCTGTCTGCACCTTCATGCCATACACCCTCCCCCATGGTGCCCAGCAGTGAGCCCAGCGCACGGTAGGTGCTCAGTCAGGAGGCAGAGCCAGAGGGGCTGTGCTGAGTGCTCCTCCCCCGGCCACCTACCAGAATCGCAGGGCTGGGTATTACCTAGCAGATCCCTGGTCCCCGCCCACACCTCGCCATCAGCTCTCTAGGGTCTAGGCTGGGCAATCTGCATCTTACAAACTACCCAGCTGATTCTGAAAATCACACCAACACCCACCACACTCTGCTGGACTCAAGGGCCCCTGGGAGCCCTTCCAGCCTGAAGGCCCTGGCCCTCTGCCCCTGGCCCACCACCCTGACTCCCGGCGCTCCCTGCCCCTGAGGACCACTGCAGTGATGGTTCTGACAGGCCTCCAGGAACTGCCACTGTCCACCCCCGCAGACTCCTCACTCTCCACACTCCTTCACCTGCAGCCCAAGGCCCCCACCTCTCACTGTTCTTCCTCCCAAGCCTGTGTGCCAGCAACACTGAACTGCTCACTTCCCGAGACAGCTCCTCGTGCCTTCCCGCATGCATTCTGATTCAGCCTTCGCGCCTGGACTCAGACGTTGCCTTCTCCCAGGAAGTCTTCCTTGCGTGCTTCCTGAGCTGTGCCCCACCCTCCACTCCGCAGCTCCCTTGGCTCCCCCATCACAGTTTGATCACTACTGGGTGTGTCTCCTCCTAAAGGGCAGGGACCGTGCTTTCTGCATCTCTGTGCTCCTGGGCACAGTCAGCACACAGCAAATGTCGGCTGAATAAATGAATAAGTGAATGAATACATGCACAGGTTCTCATTCAAGCTCTGTGAGCTTGAGCGACCTGGGCCTCAATGTCCCCCTTTCTAAAATGGGGGTGTGACTTCAAGCAGTGGCTCTCAGGCTAAGTGGGAGGTGCCCTGGAGCTGAGAGGGGAGGACTCCCTCTGCAGTTTCACCCAGAGCAGCTCCACCCACTTTCATCTGCATTACGGGTTGTGGAAAAGATGTAACCAAGGCTTCCAGTGCTTAAGAACAAAACTTTCAAGCCACTGTCCTAGGTGCTGTCTGAGCACCCTTCTGGGTGTCCAGTCCTAATGCTGGAGCCAACCAGAGACGAGGATTCCACAAAGGAGACCTTGCCAGTTGACCAAGGTCACTTGCTGAGCAGCTTTCCCTGGGCCTCACGAGCTCGGGATATTCACCCCCAACAGACAGGAGTGAAAAGGAAAAAGTAGGAGGACCCAGTGAGTGGTGGGAGACGGGGTGGCGTGTGATATGAGCCCTCTCTGGAACCACAAAGTTCGAGCAAAGTAACTAAATTCGGAAATCTGGAAAAGAGAAGACCAACCATCGGTGGAGAGCTGCGCGGAGGGTTGTGCACAGAGAACACACTGCCACCTGCTCAGGTGACTGCCGCGGGGGCACAGTGGGGGCCTGAGCATGCTGGACAGAGAGGCACAGTGCCTGCTCAGTGATGAGAAATGCTGCCAGAAACCCATCCCCACAGGATGGCTCTGGCCCACCAGACCCAGCCAGGCTCCATTTACCTTCTCACCCCGGTTGGAGAGCGGCCCATCCATATCGGCTTTGAGGTGGACGGGGGGCGCGGTGTAAGGCAGCCGGCAGTGCACCTGCCCGCACTGTACCTGACCTGTGGACGAGAGGATGCCTTGGAGCCCATAGCCAGCCTCCACGCAGGACCCCACCTGCTCTGTGCTCAGCAGGCTGGAGCCCTGGGACCACGTTCACCTGTGCTACTTACCATTCGATTGACCCTGGGCAAAATTCCAATAGGATTAGCTGCAATGCTGCATGTGAAAGACTTTATAAAGTTCTATTTGATAACTGTCCAGGTGACTGATAAACAAACACTCATAAATGAATATGTATTGAACACCTCCTACATGTAAGGCTGTACCTCATCTATTAGGATCCTCCTGTGGTGCCTCTTACCTTATCCCCCAGGTATTAGCTTCTTGATGATGCTCTCCCCGATCATCCGGTTAATTGCAACCCAACACCAACACCCGTCTCCACACTCCCTGTCTTTGCCAACTACAATACAAACTCCCGTGTGGGCAGAAATTTTTGTCTGTTTTATAGATTCCAGATCTTTGTGGATTTCCAGTACCTAGAATGAGGCATGGCATCCAGTAGGTACTTTTTTAAAAAAAATTTTTTCTTTATTGATTTTAGAGAGAGAGAAAGGGAGAGGGAGAGAGAGATAGAAACATCAATGAGAGCAAAACATTAATTGGCCGCCTCCTGCATGCCCCTCACTGGGGATTTGGCCCACAACCTGACTGGGAATCTAACTGGTGACCTCTTGGTGCATGGGTCGATGCTCAACCACTGAGCCACACCGGCCCGGCCAGTAGGTACTGTTTAAATATTTGAGTGAGTCACTGTACCTTATTCTAACATCTAAAACTATGAGAGAAAGGCCCTCCTTATGTCTGACACAAATCTCTCATGATTCAGCCTCTCTACCACTACATTAGAAAAGTCCATGGCTTCCTCTTCCCTGCACTTCATCCACTTTGGTAACAAAAAAGAGCCCTGTGCAGATTTACACTTGGTATGTAACTTGGGACAAGTCACTGTGTCTTTCTGAGCCCAAGTTCCCTCATCTATGGAATAAAGTGGTTGTATATGACTGGGGATTCTTAACTTGGGTGTTCTAGGAGTCCATGAACAGCCTGAGCTGACATGAAAAACTATGTGTGCATGTGCATTTTTTGGGGTCTTGGTCCAAAGCTTTTTGTCAGCTTGCAAGCTCTAAGGTTCCAGGAAACTCAAGGTCCTGGGAATTTAGTTAACTGCAAAGCAAAGTGCCGAGGCGACCTTCAGTCATGCAGCAGGTCCAAACACCCTTATGGTTTCTGCCCCAAGCTGGGTTCTACCTCAAGGTGCAGAGGAAAGGGCACCTCAGCCCCTTCTCTAGACAGAGACAGATCTAGGCTTGGTCAACAAAGTTTGAGGACAGAGTTCTGGTATGACTGTGGAGGCCATGGCCCCACTCTCAAGGGAGTCGCTTAGATCCATTGCAAACTCCACAGCAAATGCTAGCTGGTAGCCAAAATTCCTGGTACCTAGAAAACCCTTGGTCTTTGGTGCCTTTAATGGATGAACTAGATCTTCTACGGGCTCTGTGCAGCCTGAACATAAGTCACTGTTTTAAAAAGAAAGGGAGCCCTGGCCGGTTTGGCTCAGCGGTTAGAGCATCCGCCTGCGGTCCGGAGAGACCCGGGTTCGGTTCCTGCTAAGGGCATGTACCTCGGTTGCAGTTTGTCCCCGGCCCTGGTTGGTTGTGCAGGTGGCAGCCACTTGATGTGTCCCTTTCACATCGATGTTTACCTCTCTCTCTCTCTTCCTCTCTCTCCCTCCCACTCTATCTGTGCAAAAAATGGAAAAATGTCCTCGGGTGAGGATAAAAAAAAAAAAGATAAAAAGAAAGGGAGAAAAAGTCCCTCCTACTAAGCAGAAGGTTCAAAAAATGGAACAGAACAAAGAGACAGTTTCTAGTTGGCAGCCTGGTGCATGCAGTAGGCAGGACTCTGCATCCTCAGTTCTGCCAACCAGAACCACCACCACCATCACAGAGCAGACAATACTTATCCAGCACTTACTAAATGCTGAAGACTTTCAGTCAATGATCTCATTTAATGCCAACAACACTGCTTTGAGACAGGTATCCTTATTGTCTTCATTTTCACAGATGCGGAAACTGGTATTCAGGGAAGCTAAGAAGCGTGGCCCGTGTCACACAGCCGGGAAGTGGCAGGGATGGGATTTTAAGCCCAACAGTCTAACACCAAAGTCCACGCTCAGTCATTAAAGAATACTGGTTCCAACTAACTTACTGTGGACGCTTGGTTTCCTCATCTGTATAATGGGATAGTGATCCCTGATGTTTAAAACAGGTTAGTGTCTGGCACATGGCAGGGGCTCAGTAAACAGCAGTGTCTCTCTGACCTCTTCCTTTTACTAGAGCCACAAAAGAGAGGATTTGAGTTTGTAAGTATATTGTAGCCACTTTTATTTTTCTGGGCATGCCCAGCTTTGAGGAAACAATCAATGGAAATACCCTTGAAGGGAAAGAAAATACGTGATAAGCACCTGCTCAATCACAGATTCATTGATGTTCATCCTCCAGAAATGCACAATGCTACACCCTCTCTCCTCCAGGTTCCTGCTCATGGTTCACTCCACCATGACTCCCTCCATCTCCTTCAGTGCCTGCCCTCCCTCCTATATTAGTTTATTGTCAATCCACCCATGTCCCACTCTAGAAAGTGAGCCCCAGGAGCACACAGGCTTGGTCTATTGTGTTCTGTGTTGTATCCTAGAGCTTAGGACACAGAAGGCACTCCAAAAATAATTACTGAATCCATGAGTGGATTTTCACAACCCTGTGAGGTAGGCATTATTAATGGCCCAGTTTACAGATGAGGAAACTGAGGTTTAAGGAGGTTAGGTGATTTGCCCATGGCCTCCCAGCCCTGAGTATTCCCGCCACAGTGGCCTTCTGCAACCCAAATGCACCCAGTGCCATCATGCTCCCTGTGTCAGGCTGTCGCCTGCCTACATTCAGTTCCTCGGACACCTACGTACCTATTTCCCCACTCCTGTGTCTCACTCACCGTACCCATTATTTCCATCTCTGTCTCAGCTTATTCGAGAGGTGGCATCTCCACACCCCCATCCAGCACCTTTCCTATAGGACGCATGGCAATTAAAACACACACTCATCTATCTGGTTTTTGTTCCTTGTTGTCTCTCCCACCAGAATGCAAGCTCCACCAGAGCAAGGCCTTGACCCATCTTGTTCTCTCCCTAGTCCCCAGGCCCTGGCACAGAACCCATGCTTGGAAAGTACTTTTTGAATGGTTGAATGGCTTGCTTCTACAGAGGCAGAGCCAGATAACAACCCCTCTTCCCACCTCCTAGGTCCAAGCGACTGCGAAGCCCACATCTTCACCCTTCAGGCTCCGTAAGGCCGCCCCACGACTTCACCACCCACGCTCGCTCCTCTCCCGCAGACCTGGCGGCCTGAGTGTCGCGGTCACTTACTCTCAATGTAGCCGTGCAGGGTGACCATGCGCGCCCGCTCGGGGCTGCTGAACGGGGAGTAGTGGATGTCGTCGGATAGGGCTGAAGGGAGGCGGGACGGCGGCGCCCCGGAGGGCGGCACAGGATGCTGCGGTGTGTGTTTTTTATGACGCGCCCGGCAGTTTTGAAACCACACCTGGAACGACAGCCTCAGCAGCCTCAGCCTCACGGAAAAGGGGAGGACGCGCCACCGGGGACCCAGATGGGACTGCCTCGTCGGCTCCCGAAGAAGGCGGCCACGTGCGCCCGGCCCGCTGCCCGGCCCACTCCCAGACCTCTGGGTCCCGCCCCAGACCCAAAGGCCCCGCCCTCCCCCGGCCCCACCTGGATGACTCTCCGGCTGAGGCCCGTCATGTCCGCGAGCTTCTGCAGCGTCTGAGCGTCGGGGTTGTTGTCCTGCGCGAACTGCGCCTGCATAACCTGCCGAACGCGGGAAGGGAGGCCGGGAGGAGGGTTAGGCACAGGCGCACCGAGGTCTCCAGGGCCCTGGCCCAATCAGAGGCTCTGGCCTGGAGGCCACGCCCCAGAGAGCTATAGCCCCGCCTCCCCACCCGGGGTCCGGGAGAGGCGGAGCCAGGAGGCCCTCTCAGCCCCGCCCACACGCGGCCGGCCACTCCTAGCTTTCCCGGTACCTGCAGCTGCTCGGCGGTGAAGGATGTCCGCGCGCGCTTGGCCGGCTTGGGCTGACTGTCCTGCTCCGAGGGCACTGCCCCCTCCAGCGTGAGGCCGTTCCCTGGGGGCGACAGAAGTGGCTGACCACGCGTCCGCATCTCTTCTAATGGCAGCCTGCAAAGGACGGGGGTGGGGGGGAGCTGGTCCCTGGAAGGGTCAGGAGCGGAGTTGGCTGGGGATGGAGACCCCAGGGTCCTAGTCCCTGAACTCAGACCTTGAAGGGGCTTCGTTTCTGAGCGTCTGCTTAGTATCAGACGCTTCCCTCTCGGTGTGCCCTGTACGTCTCACGGCACTGAGGACGGGCGACATTACCCTGGATTGAAAGCGGAGGAGACTGAGGCTCGGAGAGAAGGAAGCCTCTGCCCCAGCCTTTCACTAGTGTTCTGACAGGTAGCTGACTCCAGCGTCCCAAACGACGCTGGGGAAACAGAAAGCTGACGAAACTAGAAAGCAAGCAGGCTACAGAACTGTGACCCAATTTTGTAAAAATTGATGAAAGCAAAAAGGTTGGAAAGACATAAATGTTTTAAACACCTGGAAGCAAAAAGGTTGGAAGGTGTTCGCAGTGGTTCCTCAGAGGAGGCCTCGTCTACTTGCAATTATTTTTGTAACTTTGGTGGTTTTTACAATCATATGTCACCTCTAAGGTTTAATTTTTTTTAACTGAACTATATGTTAGCTACTCTCTTTCCACTTTACAATCGCACCAAATATACTCCTATTTTATTTTTAGTATCTTAGTTTTCTGGATAAAGCGGTAATACATGTTCCTTATCAAAAACTCAGAAAATTCAGATAAACACACACAAAAAAAGAAAATTAAAATCACTAGCAATTCCACCACTTTTCAAAATTTATTGTATTTTTTTAATTAGAAAAAATAATCTGTTGAGGAAAAAACAAATATTCCAACATACATACATAGAAAAAAAATCTGGGAAGACATATACTAAAATATAAGGGGTGGTGTTTTTGGAGTGATTTTTATTTTCTTTTTGCTTAACAATCTTTTCTAAATGTTCTATGATGGGTGTGTGTGTGTGTGTGTAAGTTTAAAAAGTAACTGAGTCAGTAAAGAAGATCCAAGGTCCCGAGCCTTCAAGCTGCCCTGCTTGCTACCAGTCGGAGGTGGAGCCTGACTTGGGAGAGCAGCAGTGTAACTGACAAGGCTGTGACCAGGGATGGTCCTGATTGGTCCGGGTGTGGAAGGAGCCTGGTATGGGGAAACCTTTAACTCCCAGGATTCCATCCCAGCATCACAGCAGGTGGACATAGCACCCCAGATTCACTTGCTCCCCACCTATACCACTTAGTCCCAATCCTGGCAGGAAAAAGTGATGCTCCTGGTATAGCCTTGGCCAGGAACACTCTGGGGATCCCTAACTAGTTCCCAGGCTGGAAACTAAGGCAGGGTGATCTTTACCCCTCCCCAGAAGCACTGTGAATGGGACAGACATTTTGTGGTAGTAATGTCTCCTAGGAGAGCAAGCAGGACAAGGATTGGCTGGCTTGTTATTCCAAAGGGAAAATGAAACTTATAGAGGGAGCCACATCCCAACAGAGTCCCCTGCTTGATGAGGTCTGATTAAGGGGTCTTGGAGTTCGGGAATGGGGTGGATGGTATGGTGGTTAAGAACCTGGACTTTGGAGTCAGGCAGACGTGCTAGTAGGTAACCCTTGACAAGTCACATACTGCAGATGACCTCTGGCTGTTTCCTCACCTGTAAAATGGGGATACACCAGCTACTTCTTAGGGTTGTTGTAAGGATAACAATAATCCACATCACTGAGAAGTGAGCAGCTTTCACAGACCCAGATAGAGACCCCTGCTTCTGCTCACAGCCCAGCCTCTGCTTTCCCTTTCCAGCCCCCAACCTAACTGTAACTCGGCCACCACAACCCCTGAAAGACCTGGACCCTGTCCCTGGACCTACGTATCTTGGGGAATCAGTATGAGAACCAGAAGAGATTTAGGGATCTTGATAGTCCACCATCCCACCTGGCACAGATGGGGAGACTGAAGCCCAGAGAGGAAAGGAAACTTCACACGTCAGAATAGCATGTCAGAAACAGGACTGGAGCTTCTATCTCCAGACTCAAAGACCTTTCTTCTCACAATCCGGCAGGAAACCCTCCCGCCAAATCTTTGGCTTAGAGCTGCTGGCTTGGGAGGTGGGAGAACAGGGTTGGTCACAGGGTTGGTCGTTTCTCTAGGACAGCTGGAGGGGATGAGCTCTGAGGCCAACCAGTGCTGTCCAAAGGTGGAGTAGCCGGTCCCATTGTGAGAATCTCTCTAGGGTTCATTGACTGCCTCCTGGCTTTACAACACATCTGCTCATCTCTCTTTGAGAAGGTCCTATCATAAGCTGCATTTTACAGATGAGAAAACACAGTTGCAGGGACAGGCAGTGACTTCCAGCTCCCAAGCAAATGGTGGAGCCAGAAGTCTGGGCTCTGTGCACAGCCTCCAGGTGACCTGTCCCTAGAGGAGTGTAGGCAGTACCTGGGTTGCTGGGGGTGGGGTAGGGCTGAGGGCAGAGGTGCAGCCAGGTGCTGGGTGGGGCGGGTTGGGTACCGTTCTCTGCGGCCCTCTTGAGATTCTCGATCATGGTGTCGTAGTGGATTCGGCACAGCACCTTCTCCTCTACCAGGCCAAATTCCTCGCCCGTGGACAGCTGGCGCTTGCAGGAGAAGCAGGCGAAGCAGGCCAGATGGTAGGCGTTGCCGCGGGCCCGCCGCACCCAGTCGCTGGCGTAGATCTGTCGGCCACACCGTGCGCACTTGGTCCCAAATCGGCTGTGGGACACCAGGGCAGGGAAGGGGATGGCGAGGCTCAGACAGGCCACCCTTCGTCCCTCCAAACCCAGTAGCCTGCCCGAACATAGCTTCTGACCTCGGGCTGTCACTTGCTAACAAACTTCCCTATGCCTGGATCTATCACCCTCCCCCCCCCCAGACCAGATCCAACTAGAACGTGAGCTGGTGGGTAGTTTTTATTTTCTTCTCGGTGTTTCCCAAATTTTCTACAATAATCACTTACATTTGTATATAACATTAATCTGCTCACTAAAATATGTCATAGATACTGGGGGAAATATAATAATGGGCAAATCTTTGAGCACTTAACAACGTGCCCAGCAAGATTCTGAGTGTTTTATATTGAGTATCCCAGTTAATGTTCATTTTTCAGATGAGGAAAATGGGGGCCAGGGAATTAAATCACTTGCACAAGGTCACACAGCTTGCAAAGATAGGAACCCGAGATGAATAAACTGTACCCCAGTGGCAACAAAGCTCCGAGTTTCTCGGAAGCATAGGCAGATGTGCATTATCGGCTTGAGGACCCTGAGCGAATTGTTTAACCCCTCCAGGTTCTCATTTTCCTTGCCCTGAGCTGAACTACATGACAACAGCAATGAGTACTTACTACCATTCATTCAGTGCTCTGCAGTCTATTAAGTAACCAGCTAGTCCCAGACTCCGGAGCCCTGTGACATTCTAACAGTAAATGCCCAGACTAAATGCTCTCTTCCCCCTTGAGGCTTTCTTGATTCTGCCTCTTTTCCTTCTCCTTCCCCTTTGTAGTGAGGATATTTGGGTGCAGCTCTCTCTACCACCAACCTGGGAGCCCTCAGAAAATAGCAGAGTCTGGTTCGCCCTGTCCCAGAAGCCACCCCAAGGCCTGACCCCTGAGCACTAGGGAAGGTTTGTTCTTTAAGCTGATGTGAACCTGTCCAAACCCTCTGAGCCTCATTTGCCTCTGGGACACACTCCATTTCAGGGACTGGTGGCACCACCCATCCAGCTCCTCGGGTTTGGTAACCTCAATCATACACTTCTCCCTCCCCTCAATCCCACCTTCAGCCAATCATGAGGCACTCCTACTTCCTTTCCTAAGAATCTCTGGAACCCATCGCCTCCTCTCCACCGCCACTGTGGCCTCCTAGGTCGGATTCCCATCATGCACCCCTCTCTGCCAGTCTTAGCTCTGATCTTCCTTTCCGCAGAGCCACCCCTGCCAATCCACCCTGTCCACAGGGAAGTTTCCAGTTTGCATTCTGAATCCTGTCCTGCCCGCTTAAAATCTTTTGGTGGCTCCACTCTACCCTTGGGATCTGGTCCAAGACCCTTGGAGTTTATAAAGCCCAACAGACCACATCCTGTCACGCTCATCTCCTCCCTAACCTTCCTCAAGATCTCCCACCCCAAACCCAAGTATGAGTCCTAGCCACAGTGGAAGGTCATTCCCAGGTCTCCATGGCCCCCTCTGAAGCATTTTCCTACCCCAGGCCTTTGCACAGGCTGATTCCTTTTCCCACAGGCCCTCACTCTCCAGGAAAAGTGCCACAGTTCCCAGCACCACCCTCTCTGCACTGACCACACCGGTTTGCAGAAGTCTGGTTCCTTGGATCTCCCTTCCGCCCCTGGCATTCCTGGGAGAGGACCAAGAAGATATGCCTCTGTGTCCCAGGGCCAGCACACTTCCACCCAGAGGATCATTTGGAAACGCTGTGAGTGTGTGGGGGAACCAGGCCAGCAATGCGCTCTGGTTACAGGACCCCCACCCCCACCTCCACCACACACACAAACTCAATGCTACTGTCTCCGACCAGAAACAGTTAGCCCAGGCCCCGCTGAGCGCCTTTGCCAGGTCAAATGCCTCTTAAACAGAGACGGTTCCCTACCTCGGCAACTCGGCTTCCCCAGGGGAGAGCTCAGCACAGCCTGTGGTCTCCATTCATAATCCCTCAGTAGAGGGGAGAAGACCCCCGCTTTGCCCACCCTCGTCTATTCCCGCCTTGAGGGGGTCTGTTCGGCAGTCGGTCTGGTAGAGGCCCTGCTGCGGTCCGGGGTCCTGGGGTGCAAAGGCTTCACTGCACGCCCTTATTTTGCCGCAACTGCGTGAGGTGGGGACTCTGGCAACCACTTTGCACAAGTGGAATCGGAGGTTAGGGGTGGGCGAGTGACTAGCTCAAGACCACAAAGAGTGGGGCTGGATTTGAGGTCCGCTTCGTGGCGCAAAAAGGACCTCGAATCTGCAGAAGCAGCCAAACTGGAGATGGTAAGATCTGGATCCCAGGTGATGATCAAGAAAAGGGCCTGATCTGACCCCGTCACGTCCCCATTCCGGGCCGCGGGGTCCTGGAAACTCCAGCGCCAAGGACCTGGGGCCCAGTGAGTTTGGGAAGGCAGGGAGTGCGTTCCCAGTGAGTGGGAAGAGCCAGGGAAGGGAATGTCGGGCCTTCAGAGGCCAAACGAGAGCGACTTCGCCTCCCCTCTGTGGTCTCCGCGCGCCACTGCCGCTGTGCCGCGTCAGTGTAGCATCCCAGGTTCTTGCTCTTGGCTGTGTGGGATTCCTCGTCCTCCGCCAGGGACGCGTCCAAGACGTGCCGCGCACCCCCGATCTTCCTGCTCCACGAGGCCGCGTCGCCCCGGTGCGATCTGCGCCTACACTGCTGTTCACAGTGTCCCCATCCCCGTGATTCCATGTGGGTGCCGTGAGCGACCTCTCAGCAACTTTCTCAACACACACCCCCGTGTCACCTCGAATGCCAGGAGCTGTCCCCAGCCCTAGGATATCCTCGCACTCGCTGTGGCTCGGCCCAGTCAACGAAACCATCCTCGAGTCGGATCCTTGGGTGGAGGTGGGGATGGCTCATTATGCAGTTTGGGACGCGTTGCAAGCCGCTCCTGAAGCACTTCCTCCACCCAGGGCAGGGGTCAGTGACACAAACAAAAGGAACGAGTTGGCTTACGGATCGAGGCTCTGACAAACCGACAGACTCCTTCCCAGGCGGGCTGTGAGGCCCGAGCCGCCGGATTCCGGAAGCAGCGAAATTGGCGGCGGAGAAAACGAAACTTCAAGAAAAGGGTGTTCGGGAGCTGTGAAGGGAGCGCCAAAGGGATTAGGGGGCGCGGCTACCGCCCCCGCCCCAGCCTCGTGCGCGCCCCTCCCTGGGTCCCGGCGCGCGCCTGGGGGCAAAGGCGCAAAGGACAGAGGCGCTTGGAGGAGAGGGGTGCACGACAGATGCTGCGAGTCCTAACTACTGCTGAAAGGACTGCGCTCCTCGCCCTCTGTCCTGCATTTGGGTTGTCGTGGTGGTGCGGAGGGAGCTGTGCGCTCTTGACCAAGTACGGCTCACTCTCCCTGCCCACTTCCCCAGGATACTCAGCAGGAACGCAGTAATTCATCGCTGGATGAATGAGCCTCGAGGAGAGAGCCCATCGGAGTCTCACTACGACCTAGTCCTACACGTCATTAAGCTACTCCTTTTCTGCAGGAGGAAACCGAGGCTCAGCGTGGAAGGCCAATATTAATTCCGAAGTTAGTGAGCCAGGATGCCGAAACTCAAACCCGAGTTCCCGAATTTTACGTTCAGAACTCTCCCTTGATGGCCTTAGATTCCATAAGGCAAACAAGGGAGACTGTAGGTGGATCTCTGCCTATCTCCTCTGTTCCTTTTCTTCTGGGCAAACTCTAGGATGAGAAGCCGGAAAAAAAACAACCAGCAATTAAGAGGTTAAAACGCACCGCGCCTCGGAGGTCCCAGACTGAGGCCCCTCCCCCGAACTCCTTTCTCTGCTCCCCCAACATCTGTCCCCCAACAGCTGGCGGCCGCTGGGCTGCTCTCTGCTGCGGTGGGGGGTCGCTTCCCAGCCCTGAGCCTCCCCAGGGACCCTCGCTCCGAAGGAGGGGGTGGGGTTCTCCCGACTGAGCTTAGGTTCTAGGCAGAGGGCAGGGGAAGGCTGGGGGCTTGCCCTAAGTCACCTGGGCCAGGGAACAGGAACTTCAGCGCGGCCCCAGTGGCCCAGCCCATGGCACTCTCTGAAGTTTACCCCACAAACTCCAGGAGTGGTACTTGACCTTTTACTCCTCACTCCTATGTCAGGAGGCTAGAGGGCTAGGGACCGCGGTGACCTGATCCTGGCAACATGGACCCATTCAGGGCCTCCAAAGGAGGCCACTCGAGCCCCAGTGCTCCCAGAGCCCACCCGGGGAGTCTCACAAACTGAACAAGGAATCCAGTGCGAAGCCAAACACACTGGACAAGGAATCTTAGAGCCAGCAGAGAAGGGTCTTTGCCATTCCACAGGCCCCACCTCCTCGTGGAGAGGGGTGGCTGACATATCTCACCAATAGAAGCAGCATATTGAATGTCTAGACACAGGGATGGTGGAGTCAGGCAGCCCTGGGACTCACCCAGGGTCTGCCACTTATTAACTGTGTGACCTCACCTCTAAGGGCCTCGGTTTCCCCTCCTATAATGTGAAGATTATGAAAGTATCCTAGTCAGGGGATTCAATGGGATAAAGCATGTAGAGTTAGCAGTCCCTGGCTTAGAGATGAGCTCCATACCTTTTGATGACCAGTGTCCTCACCTCTGCCCAACCCCTTTTCCAATCTCTGCCCACTGTGTGACCCTGGGCTCTTCACCTGCCACTCTCTCAGGACAATGGGCATGACACTTCAGGAGGCTGAGGGAGCCAGGAGAGCGCTGTAGACGGCTCCGTGACCCAGGTGGGGACAGCAGCTACAGGTGGGTGGGTGGGAGGAAGCTGTCTGGGGTTGTGGTTGATATGAACACCTCAGAGAGGAACACTATTTTTTCCTCAGGACTTTTCTTTACTTCCGCAAAGAAAATGAAAAGAAAAAGGGTCTTCACAAAAAAATAAAAAAGTGAAGAAATTAAAAGTAATGTCATATTTCCCTGGTGGTAATTTTTTTCTGCTAGGACTCAAGGAGTTCAGGTTTGGGAATCTGTTTGAACCCACAAGGGCTGTTGAAGTCCCCCTTTGAAGGAAGAATTGGAGAAACTGAGGCAGAGAGGTCCAGTGACCTGTTATCAAGGGTCAAACAGCCAGTGGAAAATCAACCTCTCCCAACAATGAAAATAAGCCAGGGACAGCACTGGACCTACAGAGTCCCCCTCCCCCTACTCTGCTGCTTCTCCTGGTGACTTCCGAGAGCCTTTCTAACGTCTAACTTCCGGTGGTTCTACCTAAGGAGACCGCAGGATGGTCTACAAGGAGGGGCGAGATCGTGGATGGAACCCAAAAGAAACCCTTCAGTGGGGGATAAGACCCCAGTGCTCTCTCCCTCTGTCCTGATGATCTTGACCTCTCTTGGGCAGAGTGCTCCAGTCCATATCCCACCAGACCCTTGACCCCAGGCTTCGGGAAACAGAGGGTTAGAGAATCTCAGACCATGGTCCCTTCCCTAGCCCCAGCTCTTGAGAGGGGCACCCTCCTCCTGTGCCATCAATCCTGCTCTCTCCAGAAAGACCTCCCTTACATCAGCCACCCAGCGCCTGCTCAGAGCAGACAATAGTCCCTGCTTGGCACTCTGCCGGCTTTTCCTTTCCCTCTTTTGTGGGTTTCATTATTTTTGTTACAGGTGGGGCTGCCAGGGAAGGGTTATGACCGCAGGGAGACCTGGCTAGGGGAGAAATGATCAGAAGAGCCACAATTCTTCCTTCCTCCCAGGGAGTGTGAGCTTTTATTCCCTCCATTTTCTTAACTAAAATCTGTTTTAGTTTTGCTTTTGGGTCTCTTGTCACTGGGAAAAGATTATTGCTCAGAACCTTCAGCCCAGAAATGGCCAAGCCCCATCCCACCAGGCAGGTCTTGCTCCTCAAACTGCCTGAGGAAATGCCATCAGGGGATTGTGCCCAGCATCCGCCCTGCCATGGTGACAATGGTGATAATCAAGACACCCACAGCACCTGCCATTTAAGGAGCCTCTACAGAGCCTTTCTCTTTTCACTCCCTCCTTGGTAGCTCAGAGAGACAACCCTGGAAGTAGAACACGGAGGGCAGAGAGATGCAGTGATTTGTACAAGGTCACAGTGATTCAGTGTTATTCTGATGGAGCTCAGTCTCTGCCTCTTCTCAAAATAGCTGCACATTCCATCCTCTACCCCACCCCAGTGGGAAGGGGGACTCTAGAGCCAGTGGAGGCTCTGAACAGTGGGGTCAGGATCTGAGTTTTGACTAACCCTTGAAAGTCTAGTAAGCACAGCATTTGAGGAGGCTTGGTCCAACCAGGGCATGAGCTGGGGCTGGAAAAGCAGCAGGGAACTGTGGGCAGGTGACTCACAGGCTGCCAGGTCTGTCCTCACCAGGAGAGACAGCATTGGGATCCAGCCCTGCCTTCCTCTACAGGAGGAGGCTGAGATGTCATCCTGTTGGGTTTTCCAAGCTGGAGCCCTGTCCTTGGCTAGCCGATGAGCCCAAGGAGCCCCCGCGAATGGCAGCTGGCTTTTTTTTTTTTTGAACCATCTTGGAGTTAGGCCTAGAGCAAGGAGGTGACTAGACAGTAATTCTAACCTCCATTTCTTGCTTTGGCCAACCAATAGTCAGATGGGATAGTGCAGGGAGACATCACACTCTGGTTACACACCACACAATGATAACTCTGCTCTGACACACACACACACACAGCAGTCCACACCTACAACTCTATATTCACATTACACCCTTGAGCCCTCAGTACCTGGGTTAAGGCCTTAAGCAGAAATGCCCCTCAGAGGAGGAGGGGGTAGGATGAGAAATCACAGGATTTCTGAATCCTCACCCTCATGCCTCCAGATCCCTGTCCAGATGTAATCTTGTCCTGACCTTGTGCACTGGCATTTACACATTAACACACACTCTTACACCAAAAGACAAATGCTTGTCATAAAGTAACACACACGCTGTCCGCACATCCCTGGCCCTGCGTCGTGAGACCTTCTCTCGGTGCCACCGCACGGATCCAAATAACACACACACATACATTCCTTGCAAGCTGAGTCCTCAGCCAGTCACCTTGTAAGAGACCCCACACACCCGGCTGTACACCCTTTCATGCCCATATTCAAAAGAAGAGTCCAGTTCTTGAATCATGTTTCCCATGATTTCCCCAGAGTATTCCAGTCCAAAATGCTGCAGACTTCCCCTAGATTTAAAATCCTCTTTCCAAGTCTCTGAAGACTCAAAGTGGGGGAGTTTTCCACCACATTCCCTGACTCCCAAGAAGACTGAAGCCGGATGCGGGGGGGGGGGGGAGGTTATGGCGGGGTGGATGGGGGGCAGCTTTCTCTACTCTTTAAGAAAGCCCCTGAGAACAGGCATCCCCTCCCAGGAACCAATCCCACAATCTCTTAGGGCTCCATAGGCCCAGTGGTGGGGCATCAGGCCTGGCTCACGCTTCCCGCAGGGATCAGGCAGGCGGCCGCTACACCCCTGACCTCACAGTGACCTCAACCCCATGACGGGGTCAGGCCAGAGCCTCTCGGTTAGGAGCAGGGGCGCGCGAGCTGCCGAGACGCAGCGGCAGGGCTGCACCGCGGCAGGAAGAGCTCAGCTGCTGTCGAGAGCCTCCGGGACCGGGCACTGCCTCCAGGAGAGCGCAGCCCGGGGTAATCCTACTCAGCGCCCGGCTGCGGCGCCCTACTCTCCCCCTTTCTGTCCTAGCAGCCCAAAGTCGGCCTAGACCCAGGACAGGCTGAAACGATGACGAAGTTGGGACTGGAACAGACGCCTGGGACCCGACCATTAGATCGACGCCGAGGTCTAAGTTGAGGCAGAGCGAGAAACCGCGGTTAGGGCTTAGGAAGAAGGTCTTGAATATGGGAATCTGAGACCGATACAAGGCCAGTGCTTGGGACCTGACTAGCCCCGAACCCAGAGCAGAGCAGGGGTCAGAGCCGGGGTAAGTCTGGAGTCTAGCTCAGGGTCCCGCCCAGGGAGAGATGCCGGCATGGCTCGAGTCAGAGTAGGGTTGGAACCCAGAGCCCAGCGCACTGGAGAGGCAGCCAGATGGAGGCTGGGAGTCGAGCGGGTCGGGGCCAGAGCCGGGGACATCAGAGCTCAACCGAGGCGCTGGAGATCGGAACTGGAGTCTGAGACTCGGGCAGGACCGGAGACGGAGACAGAGACAGACACGCGACCGAAACTGAGTGGGCCGCAGGAACAGGAGGCGGATCTCGGACCGGCACCGATGCTGGCACCAGAGCGCAGCCTGGAGCTCCTAATTCGTGGCACTAGGAGCCAGTAGGCTGGGTCTGTGCGGCGCGCCTGGAGTGCACTCAGGACTCTGGGGCTCGGGAGCCAGACACACGCGCGCGGCAAAGGAGGCTTCCATGCGCGCCAGGGGGCCTGCCCGCGGCGACTCTGCTGGCCTGGAGGCTGCAGCCTACCTGAAGTAGTCCATCTTGCAGAAGATTTCCTTGTTCTTGATGTAGCAGCTGTTCTGCTGTCTCAGTGATGTGCGACACACGGAGCACTCCAGGCACCGCACGTGCCAGATGAGGTTGTTGACCTGGGGAGGGAGCAGAGTGGGGGCGGCTCAGCGTGGGACTCTTTTCACGCCAGGCCCCAGTCTCCCTGGCCCCATTTACAGACAGAGACTCGAGATCTCTGACGGTGCCTGCGACTTCCCCCACTTTTCTTCTGAAACACTGAGGCTCAGGGAGGTAGAAATAAACTCTTCCCATTTCTTCCGACGGGGCCCCGGGGACGCAGAGAAACACTAAGACTAGCCCAGAGCCGCTCAGTGAGGCAGCGGCTGAAATAGGATTCGGAATGCAGTGAATTTAGGGCTGGCGTTTCTTCCCTGCAGCCTTCTGTGCAACCCACACCCCGCCAGCACACACGCCCCTGTTTCACCTTGAGCAGATACCGGTCCAGGATCTCGAGGCCGCAGCTGGAGCAGATGTTCTTGCCGGCAGACGGCACGGAGGAGGCGGCAGAGGGCGGTGAGCAGACAGAGGGTGTGCTGGGCGTACAGGGGGAGGCCCGACCCTCGTCCTTGTCCAGAGCGCCTGCCAGGGCCTCGGCGTCCGACTGAGCCTGCAGTGGGGGAGAGAGGGGGAGCCGATCGCTGAGCCCCAGGCCCAGCGTAGTAGCTGCCTCAAAAACAAATCTGGGGCCCCAGCGCACCAGTTGACAACGAAATCCCCCAGAGACGCCGCGCCGTGTGCTAGAGGACAGGAATGGAAGGGCCTATTGAAGAGGAAGGGACAGGTTCAACTGTTAACACACAAGTCCTGGGTGTCGAGAGCTGTCAAAGCCCACGTTCTCCGCCGGAAAACCCAGGCTCGGAAAGGGGCGGCGCCCTCCGGGATTCCCCCAGCGTAAGGGCAGCGGTTCGGGCCGGAAAGCTGGGCCTGGTCCCCAGGGCCGGACTGCGGACCCGAGGCAGGGCCAAACGAACTCACCATGGCTGGCGGAGCATTCCCTTCAAGGCAGCGGGTGGTCGCTTTGCAGCCAGACCCAGGCTGGGCCATCACCTGAGGGAGGGGGGAGAGAACCCAAGCGGTGGCCGCTTCAGAGCAGGCTCCGCTCAGCCTGAGCCCAGCGCCTCCCCGCGCCTGTTATATAAACCAGCGCGGAACAATGAGTCCTAACTTTGTAGTGGGCATTTAAAGCCCTTCCCCACAAAAGCGGTGTCTCTCTAATGAAGCAATTTGAATTTGGATTGGATTTTTTCCCTCTCTCTCCCCCTCTCCCTACACTTAACCCGTGGCTCTTGAAGTAATCGCTTAGTTCCCTTGCAATCCAAGCCTCTGAGGGGAGAAAAAAAAAAAACACGCGCACACACACAAACTACCTGCAATTAGAAATTGTCGTGAATGCCCAAGATAAGAGGTAGCCAGAGTGTCAATTCCAACTGTCAATCAGTGAGATCCATCAGGCCGCCCAAAGAATTGCAAATTTGATTTTTTAATGGTAGTAATTAAAAATCGAATTTTTTCTCCCTCTACCCACCCCCCTTCCTCGTTCCCTTCTCCTGCTCTCGACACAAATGCAAAAAGGAGAAAAGAGAGAAAGAAAATAAAAAGGAGATTGGGGGGTAGTGTTTGAGGAAAATAAAAAGCGGAGCGCGGGAGCATCAGCCCACCCGCCCCGCACGCGCCGCTAAATTGACGCGGCGATATTGACACGGATGCAGGCGCCTTTCTAGGGCCACTCGGAAGGAAACCCAGAGCGAAATGGGGGCTAGATCGGGGGCGAAACGGGACCAAAAAGAGAATACAGAGTGTCGAAGAGGAGGAACAGACACCCTCCAGCCCCTCGGCGCGCCCGGGACGGCCCCGCGTCGGGATCCTCAGCGTTGCCTCCGCACAACCCCCGGCGCATCGGCGCTATCAGCGCCTATTCAGACGGACAATACCCGCCTCGCCTCCTCTTGATTCTCCTGTGTCTTTGCTAAATCGCTTTTTGAGAAATTCCTCCAACATTTGCATAATGTGTTCCCGCTTTCCGCGACCCCCCCGCCCCCGCGCTCGCGTGCGCTCACTCCCACACATACACACACTCACAGGCGCACCCCCGCACCCCTCCAATAGCGGCCGCCCGCCCCCCCGGTCGGGCCTGGCTGGGTCCCGGCCCCAGCTTGACCCTGGCCGGGGCCGCTCAGCCTCTCGCTGGCTCGCTCACCTGGTCGGTGGCGGGGCCGCCCTCGGCCGGCAGCCGGCAGCCCTCGGGCAACGCCGGGGCGGCGTTCTCATGCTTCCAGTACATGGGCCGGGGAGCAGAGGGCCCCGCGGGCGCGCAGCGCAGAGAGCCGCGCCGAGGGGGGCCACGGCCGCAGTGGGAGCAGAGGCTGAAGCAGGAGCAGGAGGAGAGCGGAGGAGCCGGCTCCGCGGCTCCCGGCCCGGCCCCAGCCCCCGCCCCCGGCCCGCGCGCAGCCCCGGCCTCCTTGGCTGCCGCCGCCGCTGCCTCGGAAGAAGGTCCCGACAAACTTAGAGAGGCCCCCGCCCCCTCCTCCTCCTCCTCCTCCTCCTCCTCCCCCTCCTCGTCGTCGTCCTCCTCCTCTCCCTCCTCCTTCTCCTCCTCCCCCTCCAGCTGCGGCGTCGGCCGCCCTGCCGCTGGAGCCCCGTTCGGTTCAAGATGAGTCATGCGTGACCAATCCTCTCCCCGCCTAGGGAGAGCGAGACACACACAGCGAGGCAGCGACCCAGAGACACACACACACAGTCATATAGACACACAGAAACTCAGAGCTGCTGACATACAAAGGCACCGGCAGGCACACGTCCACCAAGCTCTCACACTGCCCCTCCCTCAGAGGGCACCCACAGCTCTCAGGCACAGCCCCGCTCACAGGTACCAGAGGACCCATGGCCACACACCATCATCCGAGATGGATTCCGCAGACAGTCACACACGATGCAGTCCCATGCCTGGTACATCTGTGTACGTGCTGAGGCAAACGATTCCCTTTCCATCATTTACAGGAGCACGGGTATCCGTGTGCCCTCGCACACCGCGGATACCTCTGCTCCATAACCAGAGACTGCACCAGCTCCTGACCACTGAATGGGATTGGGATGGGACAGAGATGAGAGTTCTTGGGGGGGGGGGGTGTTCCCCTGAATCCTCCTGGGAGGGATTGTCAGGGACATCTCCCTTCCCTTCAGGATGTGCTGAGCTATCCAGTCTAATGCCCTTCTTACCTTCTCTCTCTTTCTTTTTTTCTTTATTGATTTTAGAGAGAGAGGAAGGAAGAGGGAAAGACAGATAGAAACATCGATGACAGAGAACATTGATTGGCTGCCTCCAGCATGTGCCCCACTGGGGATGTGTCCCACAACCTGGGCATGTGCCCTGACTGGGAATTGTGCCAGTGACCTCTTGGTGCATGGGTTGATGCTCAGCCACTGAGCCACACCAGCCGGGCTCCCTCTCACCTTCTCTATGGTTCTGCTGATAGAGGTGGGGAAGGCAGGGAGGGTTGGACATTTATATAGGACACACAGAAAGAAAACTCTCAAAGACAGGACCTTGCACAACTAACACCCTACAACACATATACAAGTGAACACTCACAGCCTCAGCCCCTTCTCCACACACAGACTGATCCTAGAGAGACGTGTAAATATACAGCGTCTTCTTAAAACAAATATGCACACTCAGACTTAGACCCAGCCCTATGGACACTAAGATACCTCACCTCTGGGCCATCACACGTACCATTTTCTTCCTAATTACCCTCGTTTGCAAATGTAAACACCTCACACAGTGTTCTTCCACTTGTACACACATCCATACTTAAGAGAGTACAGACTCCCACAGTGCTTCAGACACATGTGAAACCTCCTGTCCTCTTACTCAGACACCCACAGATATGTACACACATCCCTACAGATGGCGAAATAACCATTTATAGGTAGAAACAGCCTCCACACCTCCGAAGACACAGGATTCCCAGTAGTCACAGTCTCAGTCATGCACTGTGTACACACAGGCACATCCTGATGGACACACTGACAAGGGTATCTGCACAGCAACATTCCTGAAAGATACAAATACCTGTTCCTTTCCAGGCACCAAGATACACAGAAACAGCCCCAACCCCAGCCAATGGCACCTCCCACCTCCTGCATCTCTGCATTCCAGTCATTTATTGCTCTCAGACACAGGAATTCAGAGCGAAACCCTTTTCTCTGAATCCTAATCTTGTATGCTAAGAGCACATTTGCAATGTAAAAGCTGGTGGTGTGTACATTTACACACACACGTGCACACACATACACATGCACCCTCAAACAGATAACTGCAGACAAACAACCTATTCCCCCTCAAATACCTTTTTTTGCACACAATAAACCCAGTGACTGCTCCTGGGTACTTGAATCTGTACCAGGTTTGGCATTCTACAATCATAGGTTAACTTTCTTTTAATAATAACTTTATGAGGTAGTGTTTCTCTTTGTATCCATTTTACTGCCGAAGAAACTGAGGCTCAGAGAGATCGTGTGATAGGTCCAAAATGGTGCCATCTGGTGAATGGCTAGAGCCAAGAACTCAAAACCAGATTCATCTGACATCAGAGGTTATACTAGAAATCTAGGCTGTATGCATGATCATGTCTACTCTCTGCATATATACACACACAGGTGTGCACAATCTTATTTTTAAAAATTATTTGTCAAAAGACCTGGATATGACTCCCAGCCTCACCACTTACAGGCTCAGCTTCTTTTCTCATCTGCAAAATGAGAATAATGATAGGATGACCTTGATCTCCTCCTCCTCCTCCCCTTCTGGGTGGCTGGGGGAAGTGGGAGGTCATTGAACATTACACAGTGCTGCACGTCTCCCAGATGTGTGAGCGCAGAAGGGTTCCAGAAAAGGAGATGACTGGAGGATGGTACTGGCTTTGCAAAACTTCTCAGGCAACAGGCGTGGAGGAGGCTGGAGCTGAAACTAGAGGACAGATAATTTGGGTGGATTTGGGGAAGCCAAGGAAGTATTCCAGGTAGAGAAATGACTGCAAAGATCCCGAGGCTGAACAAACAAGCCGTGGTACTTCTGTGAGAAGGAATGCGAAGCGTGCACTCTCTGAATGATGGCAATAATAACTGCCATTTATTGAGCATTCATGTACCGAGCACTGTTTACCTGCATTTCTCTTAACCTTTGCGGCAACCCTGCAAGAATGTTATATTATTATACCTATTTTATAGTTGAGGAATCAAGCTTATAGGACCCCCATTTCAAGCTCTAGCACTCAGACTCCAGAACCCAAACTCTTACCTACTATTCAATTCTGCTCCTGAATTCTGAGTAGATGCTCAGAAAATCAAAACTGGAATAAGAGGTATTAAACTCAGAAGTGAGGCACAAAGACTCTGGAGCTAGACTGCCATGGTGCCCATCTTGGCACTGCCCCTTTTTTCCGGGTGACCCTGGACAAGTGATTCAGCCACTCTCCAGTCTCAGTTTCCTCATCTGTGAAGTGGGGATGATAACAGAGTTCACTGCTTATGCTTGTAAAAATTAAGCAAATGAGGCATGTGAAAAGGGGCTCAGAAGCATCCCTGGCATGCAGAAAGCAACTAATGAATATTAACCATCATCACAGTATAGACTAGCTATGCTGTCCAGTTGTTATTCTACTAGATGCTATTTCAAATATTTCATGGAGGAAGGCAGGGTGTAAATCAACCAGATAATCAAATATTTTCCTGAATAACTTGCCTAAGAAAGCTGCAGAACCATTATTGCAACCCAGGGCTTGCCTTACTTCAAAGAGGATAAAAATGAAATTACTTTGGAAGAGAAAACTCTCTTCCAACAGCTCCTGACTCCAATGGGAAAGAGAGTCCAGACAGGAGTGACCTTGGCAAAATCAGGATTAGCAAATGTAATACATCTCATCAGGATATTTGCTTTCTTCCTACGGGAGACTGGGCCAGTCACTTGCTTCCCTGAGCTTCAGTTTCCTTACTTGCAAAATGGAGTTAGCAACACTTACCTCTCAGGATTGTGGTGACAATTAACCATATATTAAAAATGACTACTGTATTTTTAAATTTTTTTCTTTATTGATTTTAGAGAGAGAGAAAGTAAGAAGGAGAGAGAGTTAGAAACATCGATGAGAGAGAACATCGATTAGCCACCTCCTGCCTGTCTTCCATTGGGGATTTGGCCCATGACCTGGGCATGTGCCCTGACCGGGAATTGAACCGGCGACCTCTTGGTGCATGGGTCAATGCTCAACCACTGAGCCACACCGGCTGGGCAAAAACTAATATTTTAAAAGCATTGCCTCTGTTCCTGGCACTGTGTAAGTAGCTTCCTGTAAACTGTCATGAGCAGTCTACATATGCAATGTCATCGGCATCCTACATGTACAATGTCATCTAGTCCTTACCTCGATCCTTCTCCTGGTCCCTAAACAGGATGTGGTCATCTCATTCTTGGAGGTGAATGTTGCCACCCTCCTCCACCTGAGTCTAGGTCCTTGGTTTGGGTTTGAAAAGAGGCTTCATTAGTAACTGGGTAATTCTGTGGGATCACCCCCAGCAGCGGTTCCGCCCCGCCGGGGAGTAATTCTAGGAAGGTAATGTGAGCTGGGGGAGGCTGGAGACCCAGCTTCACATTTATTTACTCTGACAGCTAAATTGGTGAGTGAGGGGGGGAATCAGATGAAAGCCATTTCAGAGTAAATACTAAATACAAAATTTAAACATTCCGGTTGTGACGCATGGGAAGGGGGAGTGGGACGAGATGCAGGCAGCACACCCCTTCCCACTCAGGACCATATCCTCACCTTGTTACCTTCCCGGGCACTTCCTGTTTGACTAGAGGAAAGAGCACAGAATGGGCTTAGAACTGCTCGACCCTAGGCAAGAAATGTACCTCTCCTGGCCCCAGTTCTCCTTGTTGAAATGTGTGTGTTGCTTGAATCGGATGATTGGGGAAATGATGGAGAGGGCTCTTTCTCTAGCCTTGGAGTCAGACACTTGAGGTCACTTATCTGAACCCGAGTTTCCTAAATGTTGGCGATAACATCAACCATGGAGGAGTAAATGAGATAATCCGTGTGAAAGGGCTTTTTGGACCTCAAAGCATATTGCAAATGTGAGCAGCTACCGTCACCCAAAGTAGCCCCTTCGCGTTCTGACGTTCACTGTGGAAATTCATGTCAGCAGGCATCTATGAAGCATTTGCTCCGAGCCAGGCTCCCGGCTAGGCAGAGGATCCTGGCCCCGGCCCATGGGCAGCTCAGTCTAGCGGGAGGGAAGAGAGCCAGCGTTCGCAGCACTGTGTGACAGGTGCTACACAACGGGGACACAGGTGCTGCAGAACGAGGAGGAGGGGCATTTAGCCTG